ATCCTCATATTTTGCACAATAAGAAAACCTTAGCATTTATATAGCACTTCCAAAATGGGAAATACGGGCTCAAATGTTTTTCACACTATGCAGATGTAAATAAATATTTCTTTGAGCTGGTTTAGACTCCACCCCTGCGACAGCAAAGCCACCCATGTACTTTCTCTTTGTACATCAACTACATGGAAAGCTCAGCTATCAGAAGGAAGCTGGGGCCATAGCCAAGAACATGGGCCATGGCATCAGACTTCCAGGGATAAGACCAAGCTTCTACCATCTATTAGGTATGTGATCTTGAGCAAGTTAAACTCTCATGCCTCAGATTCCTCATCTGTAAATCAGAGATAATCTACATAAGTGAGTTTTATAAGTGAGCTACTACATGCAAAACACTGAAAGCAGTGTCTGACATATAGTTAAATACTCAGTACATAGTAGCTATCATCATTAATATTCTTATTATTGATCACAGATATTCTCAAGATTCAAAATAGTGAACATCAAGAAGCTGCTCACAGTTCCTAAAGCCTGAGGGGCCCTCATCCACTATACAGATGTCAAATTGAGGAAACTAGAGATGGGCAGTACTTGGGCAGCACCTTCACAGTGTGCCTGGGCATCTCTACATTATTGATGACAACAGGGCCAATCAGTCACCTTTGCAGCAGACATATCTTTCCTAGATATAGGAACATACTTTTAACCAAGTTGTAGTCAACTTTTGATGACCTGATAGCATTTCCTTTCTAAGATGGCTTTACACAGCCCAGCTGTAATACGAGTCAATTTCATATTCCAACTCTAAAGTTAATCTTTCTTAATATTTAAAAAATTATTTTTAATTACACACAAGTAATGTATTAAATGCACCCTTCATTATATCTTCTCAATGCATAATACTTTCTCATTATGAAAAACATTTATATATAAGACTGAAATCCAGGGTTGATTATGGTAAAATATGCTTAACATAAAATCTGCCATTTTTACCTTTTCTTAGTGTACAGTTCAGTGGCATTAAGTATTCACACTGTTGTGCAACCACCACCACTATTTATACCCAAAACTTATTCATCTAAAATCCTATTTTTGAACCTTGGTCCCATCTTTTGAAGTCTCCCTTTTTGGGGGTTGGAATGTGTTTAATTTCAGATAGTATTCTCTCTTTTAGGAAATCAAACACACACAATACTTGCTGGATGGGCACAATAGCCCAGAAAGGAGATAATCATTGGGTGGTGTCTCACCTGAATACCTCTCTCACTCACTGGCAGAAGCATTAATAAACAATAAAATGACAGTATTATTTCAAAAGAGGCAATCAGAACCTGGTTGACTACCATCTGAGCAATTAAACACTCAATTATATTTTCCATGGCCTCATGTGAATATGGAATTAGATGTTTCCTACAAAAACATGGCATTAATAGAGACAATAAATTTTCATATTTGCAAATATTCTTTACCTTCTTCGGGCATAAACAGACTTTAATAATATCTAGACCCCTGTCAAAGCTAGACATGAATACTGTCATCCTGGCTTGGGGTTTAACTTAAAAGCAAAACTGGAAAGAGACATCCTGTTTATGAAACATAATAAGTTCATGCTATCAATATATAAAAATTCTGAATAGAATAAGAAAATATAATTAGAGAGCTGTACTTAGGAAAAAGGAAATTAGAAAAAAAGAGAATGAATAAAGGGACATCCCCCACACAGGCAGCAATGACTTTCTGTGCAGTGGCCCGGGAAGTAATAGGGTCTGATATAGGCCCTGTGAGCAAGAATTTTAATGTTCCATGGGGATAGTACGGGCCTCATTTGAAACAGAGAACTGAAACTGAAACCACACAAACAACCTGGACTTTGGAGGAGTGGACCTCCCAGTGTGTGAGGGGACTGGAAAACCTAACCCTATAGCCCAAAGAAGTGGCAAAGAAGCCTTCTCTACCCATAGCTTTAGGTAAAATAAATACATAAATAAAACAAAAATACCTGTGAGAAGTCCAAATTCTAGACCAAAGTGGGTGTAGCACTCCAATGCACACTACCTGTATAGTATGTAAGTCCCCAGGAACTTCAGATAATAGACTCTGAAAGAGACTATAAAATAAATGTGCATAATTCTTAGAAATACAGAAAGAAAAAGAAAAATCATGAGAACAGGTAATTATGAAAAAAGAACAGAAAATTTACAAATGGAAAATATGGTTAAAATTTAAATGATTTGGGTGGTTTAAAATATGACTTAAGACTGGAGAGAATTAATGAACTGGAAAACAGTTAGGAAGAAATTATTGAAAAAGAAAGCACAAAGAAATAAGAAGAAACTATAGAATGCAGTTAAGAGACATGTAAGAAAGAATGAAAAAAAAAAAACCTATGTCCCATAGGAATTTCAAAAAGAATAAATGAAAAGTTGTTTGAAAATAAAGGCTAATGAATTTTGAATCCTCATGTCATGAATCCTGAGCAGGAAAATAAAAATAAATCCTAAATATATAGTAGTGAAACAAAAAACCTCAGAGACAAACAGAAAACCTAAAAGGAACCAGATAAAGAGCAAACTGCCTATGAAAGAATAACAGTTAGACTAAGAATATATTTCCCATCAACAACAATAGAAGCCAGTAGTACAGGGGTTGGCAAACTTCTTCTGTAAAGGGCCAGATAATAAATATATTAGGTTTCATGAACCACACGTTCTTTGCACAACTACTCAGCTCTGCTATTATAGCACAATAATAGCTGGGATACTGTGTACACAAATGAGTATGGCCATATTCCAATAAATTTTTACTTATGTACACTGAAAGTTGAATTTATTTAATTTTAATATGTCCTGAAACAGTCTTCTGATTTTTTTAATTGTTTAAAGTTGCTTTAAAAAATCTTAGCTGATGGGCCATACAAAAATAGACAATTAGTTGAATTTGGCTTAGGGGGTATAGTTTCCCTAACACCAGAATAGTATTTTAAAAATAGAGGTAAAAATGACCATTAGCCTAGAATTCTATACCTCGCTAAACAATCATTAAAAAAAATGAAGGTTAAATCAAGATAATTTACTTACTACAAAAACTAAATGATATACCATTCAAAGAACCCAGCTGAAAGAAAAGATGTGTATCAGGAAAAACAAAATTAAAACCAGAAGTGGAATTCAAAATAAAATGCTGAGGGGAAAAAAGCAAGTATGCAGGTATATCAAAATAAGCTTTAATGGCAAGAAGAAAATTAATAATGGTACTGAATTTTGCTTAACAAAAGCCAAACTGAATTGCCAGACTATAAAACTTGTGAAAAGGAAGGAAATTCAATCAAAATAAATCATTCTGAGGTGTTTGTATCTTAGAAAGGAGGCTAGAGATGACTAACTTTAAACTTTGTTAAATCAATTATGTGTAGTTACAAATTTAAGGGAAATCAGTTAGGGGAAATATCTTTTTATTCTAATAGCTATTTTTGTTAGGTTACTTCTCTTTATCACAGTGATACAAAATTCAGTCAATTTATTTAAAATTTGAGAAGTGAGATAACTTAAAAATATTTAAATAATAATGTAGGTGTTAGGTGTGGCAGATATTTTTATGTTGGTTATAAATAACTTCAGTTTAGGAAAGCTGCATAAAACTTTGTTCAAAAACTGTCTCTGCAGAGATGGACATATTTCTACATACACATATTTTTTTCCAAATATCAGAGACTTGGAACTGTCAAAAATATCTTACTCAATTAGCTATCAAACTACAAAAAGACATGGAGGAATATTAAATGCATATTACTAAGCGAAAGAAGCCAATATGAAAAGTCTATGTACTGCATGATTGCAAATGATACATTCTGGGGAAGGCAAAACTATGGATACAATAAAAACACAGCAGTGGTTGCAGGAGGCAAAGCGGGGAGGAAGTATGAATAGGTGGAGCACAGAGGATTTAGGTGGCAGTGAAACTATTCTTTACCATACTATAATGGTGGACACAGGTCAATATATTATTGCCCAAATCCCACAGTGTACAACACCAAGAGTGAATCCTAATGTAAACTATGGACTTTGAGTGATAATCATGTGTCACTGTAGGCTTATTAAGTGTAACAGATGTCCACTCTGGTGGGGTATACTGATAATGGCGGGTAGGGAGGCTTCCTGGGAAGAGAAATAGGAATTCTCCGCACATTTCTTTCATTTTTCTGTGAACCTAAAATACCCTAAAAAGTAAGTGCTATTTTTTTTTCAACCATTTGCTTGCACATAACTTTTCTGTTTCTGAAAGCAGGTCAAGTATTACAATAGCTAACATTTACACACTTTACACAGATTTTCACTTTAGTCCTGGTGAAATAGATATTATTTTCGTCTAATAGTTAACGGACACTGGAGAATGAGAATTTCTATTAGTAAAACATACTCCCAAAAATGTAAACATCTGTTTATCTGACCGCAAGGCTGGTTTATTTGCTGGCACTCTGCTGATTTAGTTCCATTCTTTTCTGTTACCTGACTTTAAAATACCTTTAGTTATTTTTATCCACAAGCCTAGATTATTTGGGAACAACCGTCCTGAAACGAAGTGGATGAACCTGACACTAACAAGCCTAGAACAGAACGCGGCGCCCGGCCGCCCGGGAGCGTGGCAGAACGGAAGCGCAGCCGCCCGCCCCGCAGCATGCTGGGAGCGGTAGTTTTCTGGCCGGCTCTCCTTCCCCGCGCTCGAGCGTCCCGGCCGGAGCTTTGTTCCTATTCTCTTAGCCGGGCGCCGCGGCTCGACAGCCACCCGTCCTCGCACGCCATCGTAGTCCCGGAGACTGACCTGGGAATGCGGCCCTGACCACCTGCTCCCGTCCCCGCGTCCTGCCAGTCAGGCCCGCGCTGCCGCCTCACCTGCCACTCTGGACACAGCGCTTCACTCCCGCCTCCAAGAAGGACGCGTAGCCCGGTTACCACAGAAACGAAGTTGCTTCCGTCACTCTCGTGAGGTCAAAGATCACTCTGGTCAGTTCCGCTTCCGGTTCCTGGATCCTGCTTGTTGTCGGAAGGCGGAAGGTGTTGGTACTCTTAGAGGGTGGATTTCTGGGGTACGGGGGTCGCCCGAGACCTGCAACCATGGCGGCCTCCACCGCGGCCGGGAAGCAGAGGATTCCCAAAGTGGCCAAGGTAGGCAGCAGCGAGGAACCTGTGGAAGACGGCCGGGGAAGAGGGGCTTGCCCCAGCCTCTTGGTACCCGGGGCGGGAGCGGGTGCTGTGCCTGGAGCAGGCCCGCTGCGTGCGGGGCCAACGGGGCAGAGGAGGGGAAGGCTTGTCACCCCGGAGCGCGGCCCGCGTTCGCGAGGCCTCTGGTCCTGGGAGGTGTTTGCGGGGTCGGGGAAGGGATCACTCAGCAAAGATGACCTGAGCCCGGCCGTGCTCTAGGCGCCGGGGGCTACGCTCTAATGCGGGCGGCGAGCGGTACTCAAACACATGAGTATGTGTAAAATTGCTACCTTTCCGAGGCAACCTTGCCGTGGAATAATCAGGGCTGTCTGCAGGATCCCCAAAGAAAACTATGCTGAGGAAGGGAGATCTAAGCTGACACTTGCAGACTTTATTGAAGTTAGCCCAGTTGAGAGTAGCAAAGTGAGAGATGACAAGTTGTATGGTGGCATAATTTAATTAAACAATAAATTTGATAGTATGTGATATTGCCATAGGTTGCAGATACTGATTTCTCCAGCCCTGAGGGCTCACTTGAGCTTGCCATTTGTATATTCATTTAGGTGACTCCCAAAGATAATGCATATAAAAACCACATAGCAGAGCTGACAGTTAATGCTCATTAGATATGAGCTATCATCATTACCATTATCATTTCACATGTGGAATTAAGTAATTAATATTTCTTGTAATTCAATCCCATAGACTTGTATTGGGCACCATTGGCCCAATAAAAATATGTGAACCACATATGTAATTTCAAGTTTTCTTATAGGTACAGTAAGCAGCTAGAACAGGTGACATAGATTTTAAGTACATATTTTATTTAACCCATTATATCCAAGATACTGTAATTTCAACACATAATCAATATTAAAAAAATAATTTGACAGGATATTCTTTTTTTCATACTAAGTCTTCAAAATCCAGTGTATATTTTACACTGACAGCCCATCTCAGTTTGGACTCACCACTGTGGCTCATAGTCACTGTGTTGGACAGCACAGACCTTAAGACTTCAGGAAGCTTACAGACTGATGAGAACTTAACAGAATATTGCCTTTGGCTTCAAATGCCATGAAAACCCACATGCCTGAGGCTTTCTACACGTGGGGCACAAGTTGAATTCTGTTAATAGAGGTTGTAATGCTAGATGAGTTATGACACACATCTTGATAAAATAAAACCTCCGATAATCTTACCTTGGCAACCTCAAAATTTATTATTATACACTAATCTGAAAGGGAAAACTTGCTATATCTGCCACCTTTTCTCTTGAGGCTTTGTCTATGGCTTTATAGCGGATACCATGCATAAGATAAAAAATAATATTTTTTCTATTTAGTTTCATAGAGAAATGGGAGTATGTCATACAAAGAGAGCATCTTGTAGTAGTATTTATAAAGTTCACATCCTAAAAAATGTTTGTTTCCTAAACCATGTGTGAAGAGCATCTACTAAAAAACGAAGTGTCTTTTTTGTTGAAAGGTGAAAAATAAAGCCCCGGCTGAGGTTCAGATAACTGCTGAACAACTTTTAAGAGAAGCTAAAGAAAGAGAACTTGAGCTTCTTCCACCTCCCCCTCAACAGAAGATCACAGATGAAGAAGAGTTAAATGACTACAAACTAAGGAAAAGGAAGGTCAGTCAATGTGATATTTTTCAATCTGTTAATATTATTAAGAACTGATAGGTTAGAGTTTAAAAGTTCTTATTGGTTGAAGAGGTTATAAGATGAGGTTAAAGTTTCTAGCCACATAAATAATACAGCTTTTAGTTACCAGATAACTTGCATTTTGTAGAACCTTATAAAATATGCCATGAGTTGTCCGTTTTAAAGTATAAAGATATTAAATCCACCAAAGGTGGGTGGAAGTTTAACAGGTGGAATTGACAGCTGGAAGATGGGTGGACTTAGCACGCTTGTGTTGTGTACTCACATCGGGGCCACCCTTTGTTGGAAGAGTTAAGACCTGGAAGGAGCCATGAGAAGACATGGGGATCTCATCTGACCTCCTCATCCCAGAGTGGGGGATTATTTTAAACCATTAATCCTGTTGTATCTACATGCTAGTTATCCTCAATGAGCTGTGTGTGAAATTCTGAGTCATTATCGAGAGTACTTAGTCAAAAACATTTTATTAGTAACACGTACAAAGTATATTAAAGTATCAGTTTTTATGGGTAATAAGAGAAAATACCAACAATCCTGCAAATAATTCTTTATATCTAAAGTTTATCTCTTTGTTTGCATGTACAACTTGAAAAAACACCTGTGATTGTAACTCTTTTTAGTGCACTGCTAATTTCAAAAGGATTCCAGGATGTGATTTCTCTTAAATAAGAAAATAAATAACCTTTTTAGTATAAGAATTAATAGACAAAGAATGATGTCATTTTTAATCATTTTTCCTTTCATTTGACCTTTTTTGTCTTCCTGCAGACTTTTGAAGATAACATAAGAAAAAACAGGACTGTGATTAGTAACTGGATAAAATATGCACAATGGGAAGAGAGTCTGAAGGAGATTCAAAGGTAAAATTGCTGAGCAAGTAATTTCATATGTAAAGACATCCCTTTTTAACAGATATTTGAAAATAATGTTAAAGCACGAGCAAAACAATGTGTCCCTAGTAGTAATTTTCTAAGTCGTTCCACAGCACATGCTCTCTAGCCAGAGAAGTGCAGTTCCATCTGCTTTCTCTCTGGGAGTTTTAAAAATAAAAATTGTTCTACTGAAAACCAGTGGACAACAAGATAAAAATACAACTGGTGCTTCCTGTTGTCTAGTGTTTCTGCATTCTCCCATCATACCCCCTGCCCAGCTGGGCCTTTGTTCTTGCTACTCCCTGAACACATCCCATCTCCCTACCTGACACGTGGCTATTCCCTCTGCCTGGTATGAGCACCCTGAAATGATACCTTTTCACTCCTAGGTTACCTTGGCTCAGGTAGATCCAATACTAGCAAGGTTCTGCAGACGTTTTGAAATAGTTGCCATGTGTGTTGAATGCACTTCTCTTGGTGCTCTTCAAATACTCCCCAAATCTTGCTGCTTTAGGGCTCGGTCCATATACGAGAGAGCTTTAGATGTGGACTATCGAAATATTACACTCTGGCTGAAATATGCAGAAATGGAAATGAAGAATCGCCAGGTCAACCATGCCCGAAATATCTGGGACCGGGCCATAACAACTCTGCCTCGAGTCAACCAATTCTGGTAAGATTCTGATCTAATAAAACAGCTTTGTGTAGACTAGAAAAGTTCCATATTTTGGGGTATTTTATTTACATAGTTCTAATTGTACCTCCTATTTTTCCTTTAAACGTACCATAAGTACTTTTTAATGTCCTATATGGTCTGTTGAAATCATACAGTGTATAATCAGAACTGGAATTTTGTTTGCAGATTTTTATGCACAAGGAACTTCTTATTGAATCAAGCAATTTTTAAGAAAAAATGTTTTTTCTGTGGTTCATCCTTCTTAGATTTATATTTTAATAAGAAAATATGTTTGATTTAACCTTTAGGGAAGATAAAGCCCTAAATCCTCTACATATTTAAGAAAGTTAGAACTAGAAATTGCCAAAATCATTTTTTCCCTAAGTCACTGTGACCTTGACAGGTATTTTCGGATGATTTTGTTAAAGGTACAAGTACACATACATGGAGGAGATGTTGGGAAACATTGCTGGTGCCCGGCAGGTGTTTGAGCGCTGGATGGAATGGCAGCCCGAGGAGCAAGCCTGGCACTCATACATCAACTTTGAGCTGAGATACAAAGAGGTGGATCGGGCCCGCACCATTTATGAGCGCTATATCCTTTATGAGAGCTCAACATTGCCCTGGTGCTGCTCCTCCCATGGCGGAGTAGGCATGATCTGCATAGAGTCATTCCTGTAGGCGTAGCAGTCAAGGATGCAAGTTTCGTCTGCTTCATAAGCTACTTATATATTATCTAGGGACATAGGCTTGGTCAGAGCAAAAGTTATCGTCAGGGTAACGGAATCTTTTCCAGTTAGACTTCGGATGTGTTTACACTTTTGGCATGAATGCTGTGGTTCCTTGTGGAAATGACATGCTGTTATAGCCAGTCCTGTTTTTCTAGAGTTTGTGTCAGTCATTAGCACCACTCCTAGAGTCCATCCAAAGGTTTATTGTTACTAGCCATGTGACTCCAGTGAGTCAGTTAACTCCTTTGAGCCTTAGTGCACACTTATCTTTAAAATGAGAATAAAAATTCCTACTGTGGATTAATGTAACATGTGAGGGCACTCTTAGCACTTTAGCACTGAAGCAGTCAGTCCTCAGTATTCATATTTGTAAATTCTGCTTTGAAATTTATATCTAACCCCAAAATCAATTCATATGGCACTTCTGTAGTCATTTCTGACAAGTACAGAGTGATGAAAAATGTGCATCCCCAGAAGTGACCACCTGCCTTGTCTCTGCTCTCAGCCAGAGATGACCAGAGGGTAGAAGCAGGAGGGGCAGGGTGGTGTGCAGGAAGCTCCAGCTCTGGGGCCTGTCGGGTGGGTTCGAGTCCCTTCTCTGGTACTGGTTAGTGTGGTGGCCTCGGGCAAGTCACTTAACACTTCTGAACCTTGTTTTCTCTTTTATAAAATAAATAGAATTTACAAGGCTTAGATGTTTTTAAAATTTAAAATAATATGAAATACACATACATGTGTGTGTATATGTAAGTATATATGAATACATATACACATACGTATTCCTCTGGGAACATTGATATTCTCCAGTTACATGGTCAGAGTGACTTCATAGAATAAAGCTACCAGGACAAACAAGACATAACTTTCCTATGCAATTTTAAGATCTTAATTTACATCTATACTCATTTAATACCATTAATTTAACAAAAGCTCTTAATGACACTTGCTATGTGCCAGGCATTATCTTGAGCACTTTACAAATATTGTCATTTAGTCCATGACAACCTGCGATGCAAGAACCATTGCATCCTACAGACGAGAAAGTAGAGGCTTAAGAGATTAAGCAGCTTGACCAGGGTCCAGCTTGACCAGGGTCCAGATAGTGAAGGACATGGGATTTGAACCCAGAAGCAGTTTCAGAGTCTAAGCTGTTAAAATCATTGCCATATTTGAATGCATTACTACTTTGGAAATTAATAATTTCCTCAAGAAAGGTAGATTAAAAATAGATACAGCCTAATAAGAAATGGTAATTCAAAACTTTCTCTTTTGGTTCTAGCTTTCTTTTCATGACTTTTCTTCTTAATCATTAGTTCAAATATTGATGTTATTCAGCATTTAGTATAGCAGGAGCAAGCCTGGCACTCGTACATCAGCTTTGAGCTAATCTATTGACCACGTTGTTTTGGCATGATGCTAAGAGCTTGACATACATTTCCACATTTAAAGCTGGCGATCATCCAATGAGATGGTTGGTATTATTTTTCTTTTTTTGCAGATGATAAAACTGAGGCTTAGGCAAGTTAAGTGACTTGTCCAGGATCACATGGCTTCAGTGTCTTCATTGTACCAACTCCTGTTTGTGTCTACTTCCAAAATACTGGATAAACACTGGAGAAAGACAGATGAACACGTTGCAGCCCCCCTCATGGTGGTCACAATTCGGTGGTTTCCTACATTTCTACATTTTGTCACCCCTGAGTTGCAGTTTCTGTCATTGGGATTTTGGGTTTGGGTTTTCTTTAAGCTGTGTTGTCTTCCCTAGCATTTCCTTAATTCCCCTGAACTTGTTCTTGTGCACCCTGATGTTAAGAACTGGATCAAGTATGCCCGCTTTGAAGAAAAACATGGTTATTTTGCCCACGCACGGAAAGTATATGAGAGAGCTGTCGAGTTCTTTGGAGACGAACATATGGATGAACACCTTTACGTTGCCTTTGCCAAATTTGAAGAAAACCAAAAAGAGGTAAATAAACTTAATCTGATTATGTTGAAAAACAGCTTAGAAAACATTGAATTCATTTCCATTTTCTCACTTTTGGAAAAATGTTTTCAAAATACAAAAGTATGATTTCTTGAAGAAAACAGCATACATTGTGGCTAAGCTGCAGATTGGGGGCTGAGTGATTATAGTTTGTATTATACCTCTTAATTTTATTGTGCTTTTCTGAAAATTAAGTCTTTAAATCTAGTATGAGAATATTGTCTATAAACTGAGAGTTAGTCATTAGTACCCTGAATAAAGGGTTTTGCCAGTAATACACCTGGGAAGCAAAAAGTCCAGAGCCCAGAACAGAGAACAGAATTTGAAAAGAAAACAGATTGCCCCACAAATGAGTCAATTCTTTTCTTCTGTAATATGTATGGAAAATAATCCCTTAAAGTAGCTCAAATAATATAGAGTTGAGAGAGGCTGAGGTCTGAATACACAATTTTGCAATAACAAGTTGAGATTCTGTTCTAAGGGCAGTGGGAAGTATTGAAGGATTTTAAGCAGGAGCATGATGGAATATAATTTATAGTGGAAGGAAAGCCTCTAGCTAATTAATGGAGATTGCACAGATGAAAGGTGGCAGGAGTGGAAGTGAGGAGACTTGTAATGGTCCGGGGAAGAAAGGAGGCTGGGAGGCAGGGGGCTGGGGAGAAGTGAGATGCCAGGTTGAAGAGGTAGAAGTGGCAGGGCTTGCTGAAGCAGTGAATGTGTGGAATGAGCAAGGACAGCAATAAAGGAGGACCACTAGGCTTTTGGCAAGTGCGTAATGGTAGGTGTTGCTTCCCAAATTGGTGAGACTGAGAGAGACGCTGGTTTGGTGGGAGAAACGGGCTCAGTTTTGGACCTGTTTAGTCTACATGTGCAGAAAGATCCAACTGGCAATGTTAGGGAGACAGTATTAAATGTGGCGCTCAGGGAATGGTGTCAGTCCATTCTGCCTAGAACAGCCTCAACAAGAAGAAGAAAAATACTATTTGGACATTTTTAGGTCTCAGAAATCTAATGCACAAGTCATGCTTTATGTCACAAGTACTTTTCTAGAAGTGACTAGAATGAGAATATTGTGTTATAGAAGATAATTGTCCTATGTGCTTTTAGTTTGAAAGGGTGCGAGTGATCTACAAGTATGCCCTCGATAGAATTTCAAAACAAGAGGCTCAAGAACTCTTTAAAAATTATACCATCTTTGAGAAGAAGTTTGGTGATAGGAGGGGTATTGAAGACATCATTGTGAGCAAACGGAGATTCCAGTATGAAGAAGAAGTGAAGGTGAGTGCTGGTGTAGATAATTTTGCAAGTAGCTAACCAACACTCGCTACAGTAAAATGAAGGAAAAAAAAGGTTAGGGCTACAAGCACTTACTCTCATGATCATGTATCTGTGATAAATTGGCAACTATTCGAGACAGAGAGGAGCGAAGCTGATAGATGAGGCAAGCATACAGCCCTTGGATTTGCCCTGCAACTCCCATGTTGCAAGTCATTTAGTTGATTGTTGATGGCATACCATACAGCTTGATCAAAAGAGATCTGGAGCTCATTTGAGATCATTTTTGAAAGAAAGTGGAAGAACCAGAGATTGATCCAAAAACCTTTTATATTTTACCTTTTAGGTTAACTGAACAAAAGATGTAGCTATGGTTCCACTCTCATCTCTTTATCTGTAATGTACTCGTTCAATGTGAATTCAAAGATAGCAGTTTTCTTTACTATTCTGTTTTGTATTTAAAAATACTTCTGCTTAGTCAAATTAAGATATCGACAAAGGACTAAGTCTGATATTAAGTGAGGTCAGCAAGATAGGTTCAAGATAAATCACTACTAGTGGAAAAGGTAGGTTTCACAGTTGTGAGCATGTATAATTCCACTGTAATTTTAAATCTAGCTCTAATGATATGTAGTCATATAAATAAATATGTTTATAAAAATAAGCATCTAATTATCAAATAATTACCTTGGGAGTGGTGGTTATAGATAAAGGAGGACTTGCTGTGGACAGTTGGCTAATAATCTGTCCTGTATAGTCCTTCCTATTTATAAATTCTCGGGAATGGTATTTTTAAATGAGAACATGCAAGATCCAGAAAAACACTGCAAAAATATAGAAATCCTGGTCCTTTCTTTCAGCTCACATAGTCCAGCAAGTGTAGCTCTTGGTTTTGTTTTTATTCATGAAATTTGTCTTTTTAGGCAAATCCACACAATTACGATGCATGGTTTGATTACTTGCGCTTGGTAGAAAGTGATGCAGAAGCAGAAACTGTGCGGGAGGTCTATGAACGAGCCATTGGCAACGTCCCGCCCATTCAGGAGAAGCGGCACTGGAAGCGCTACATCTATCTGTGGGTAAACTACGCACTCTATGAGGAGCTGGAGGCGAAGGTAAGAGTGGGATCACCAGCCACAGCCTGTGCACTTGCAGTTTGGCTCCTGTGGGTCGGGATCCTTGAAACAGGGATCTCATTTCAGGTTCTTAGGGGCCCAGGCTTTCACTGAGCTATGTCATTACATATTGTCTCTGCAACATTTTAAACTCAGTATACCTATTGTGGGTGTATTTTGAGGCATATTTTTGTTTTATTTTATGTTGTTTTTTAAACCTTGAGGTACAATAAAATAATCATTTGGCACATGAAAGGGAACCAGCCCTTAGCATAATTATACATAGTTTCTGGGTTTTCTCATAACAGGGATCACAGCCGGGTTGCACATTTTTGCTTTAAAGATTAAGGGAGATTTTCAGAAATTGGTTGTATGTAATTTAATAGGAAAAAATTAACTTTCTGCTGTTAACCTGAGACAGATCAACAAGATGTCTTTTTTTCCTGCTATCAGACAAGAAGCCTTTCTAAAGAGAAGCTCTAAGGGTTTGATGGCCCTGTTACTGGTGATTCTTTAACCAAAGTTTAATGGCCAAACATAGTTCATTTTTTATCATAAATGGAATCAGGGCTTGAAAGTACCAACTTGTGAAAACATAATGTTGGGGGTGTACACCTTTCTTGTATTAGTAAAATTAGTAACAGCTTTTACTATTTTGTGAAAATTTCTTATTCTAATACAGGATCCTGAGAGGACAAGACAGGTGTATCAAGCCTCTTTGGAACTAATCCCTCATAAAAAGGTACATTTGCTCTAAACATTTTGTTCCAAATGTGTCAAAATCCTGCTTCTGTTACTGGTGAAATAATTCAGTGAAATAATACTTACTGAAGTGAATATTTCCTGCTAGGCACCATGGAAAACCTAAACAAGAATAAGATATGCTCTGTGCCTCTGAAAACAGATTACAGTCTAGTGGAGAGGACAATTTGCGTGAAAAGACAAATGACTAATACAAATAATAATGTAGCGATTCAGAGGAGGTTGGCGGGGTGGGGGTGCTTGGAATAGACTGAGTGGAAGGTAGAATGTGCAGGTCCAGAGAACACATAGCATGTGCAGGAAATAACCAGCCAGTGCCTCTTGGCGATTGAATGGGTGTGTGCACGCATGGGTGCACCTGCCTATGCTGGAAGCACTTGAGATGCTGTCTGTGCCGTAATTCCCAGCACATGAGAAACAAGTAGAGATGCTTGCTGAGTTACCTACTAGAATAGAGGTGGCATGTTCTGCCTGTTCACAAGCATATGCACAAAACAAAGCTCATTCTCAGTAGGGGCTCCATGCACTAAAGTATCCAGATTAGTTTGTGACTTTTGTGAAAGAAATATCACCTTTGCTTACAAGCAAGAAAAGACATCCATCCTAGCTCTGAAGTTTTAGGGAAATCTAATTGTGGCCTTTTGTTAATTTAAATTTAACTTAATTCAATTTAGTTTAAATGAATCTCTTAAGTTAGATGTTTTGTGCTTTTGTTTTCTAGTTCACTTTTGCCAAAATGTGGTTACTATATGCACAGTTTGAAATAAGACAGAAAAATTTACCATATGCTAGAAGAGCTCTGGTAAGTAAATAAGGATCAAGATGCATTATTAACTTACATGAGAAGGAAATTGAAATCTTAAGTGCTTCCAAGTCAAATGATTCCTACTGAAAAAGCAACAGAAATATTACACCTTTATAATCTAAGACATGTTAGAAAGAAAACACATGACCTTTAAAGAAAGATGGGGTGATAATGCTTAAGTTATTCCATTTCAACATTGTAAACTATCAGTAGGTACCAGTTACCAGATCCTTCCTCAGACTAGAAAGATCTGATCCTGTGCAAAATGTTTGGTGTATTAAGTGCATCTCCTCAACAGCTGTTCTAAAATTTCTTAACAATTGTTCTAAAATTTAACAGGTTCAAATACTGCATTTTAAATGTAGTTATCCTGATAAGCTACTCTCATGACTATGGACCACAAGGCAGGTTTCATTCTGTGACCTTTTTACTTATAGGGGGTTTTATTCATCTGGCAGCCATATTCTCTCGGAGATACTGAGAAATTAACTAAAATCCAAAATAGTTAGCCAACAATTATGAGACATTGTGTCTTTCTGAACAGGCACCAGTGGGCAAAGGCCCTCTCACTAGCTGAATGAATTAGGTTTCCTTGGCGCCTGTCGGGAAGCAGCATGAGCCGTGTGTTGGCCCAGAGGGAGAGAACAGCTTGCCATGTCGACTCTCCAGAGCTCTTCCTCAGTAGAGAACAGCTTCTAGCATAGGCTGATGATGTCTCTGCACTCAGTGATTTGATCATTCTGTTTTCCAGGGAACTTCCATAGGCAAATGTCCAAAGAACAAGTTATTTAAAGGTTACATAGAATTGGAACTACAGCTTCGTGAATTTGACAGGTGCCGGAAGCTTTATGAAAAATTCCTGGAATTTGGACCTGAAAATTGTACCTCTTGGATTAAATTTGCAGAATTAGAGACAATCCTTGGTGATACTGAGAGAGCCCGGGCGATCTACGAGTTAGCCATCAGTCAACCACGCTTAGACATGCCTGAGGTGAGGATCTCGAGTTGAATATAATTTTCTGTGACACTCCTCTAGTATTACCTTAGATGACTATCTAAATGTTTGTGCATTTTAAAGTATAATGACGACTTAAGCAAGGTGGAGTCTTCTACACACATAGGAATGTTCTGTTTTGGGGATAGGCAGGAGGAAGCAGCCCTCTAGTTGAATACCTAAGCACAGTGAAGCCCCGCTGTGACACCCAGGATAAACTGGGACATCATGGAGTAGGTAGCTGGCTCTCTTCCTCCCTTTCTCAAGCACAGCAAACAGAAGGCTGGGCAAGGAAGCAGGCAGTCAGCAGCTCCATCTGGAGAACAAGGGAGATAAGGTTGATGCTGCACATGCCCAAATCTCCTGGCACGGTTGTGCCCGGATTGGGCCAGCAAAGAGGCTCTCACTAAACCAGGATGTTCCTGGAATTACTATTGTGCTGTCCTAGAATTCCAACCTGCCACAGGACCTACAATCATCCCTTCTGTATTTAAGCTTGAGCCACAAGGTGGCACCAAACTACAAGTAGGATGGATTTGAATCTCACTGAGCCCCTGAACTCATCAGCGGTTTTGTTAATCTCCCACCAGAGATCTGCATTTAATCGCTCAGGCCCCACTGGCTGCATTAGGTAGGGACTTTGGTCTGACTGGTTCCATTGGTCAGCCTCAGCTCCTCCACAGATTGCTGCTGCCAGGCATCCAGGCCACATTCTACTTACCCTTGTGCCCTGACAGGCCATATCTAACAGCTGGATAGCTATTCACTGAGTGCCTATTGAGTTAAACTCAGACTTATCAAGGAATTTACAGTGGAGATAATATATACAGGTTAATCTAGGCCTGTGTTCTCCCTGCACATTCAGCTGTATATGGGAGGATCAGGACAGTGCCTGGGAGACTTGGCAAGTTCTCAGCAATGCTTGATGTCCAGCATTTGTGAAACCCCAAAAGAGAATCCAAAAAGGAATCCATGGCCCCTTTTCTCATAGTCTGGAATTCTAGCTAAGTTTTGGCCAGCTTGGAAGTGCCAGTATTATTTCTGGTACCCATATGTTCTTTAATTGTTTATAAAAGTCTTAGGTTCCTAGATGGCCTGGGTTGGAGTGGTGGTTAAGCTGTGCTTTGGATAGGGGCATGTTGCTTTTTCAATGTCAAGACCTATTATCTTTCGTAGGTACTTTGGAAATCATATATTGATTTTGAAATTGAGCAGGAGGAAACTGAAAGAACACGAAATCTTTACCGACGATTGCTTCAGCGGACACAGCATGTCAAGGTATCCTGTGCTTTGTAAACAATCTTTGATTTTGCTCAAATTTACAGTCCTGAAGAAAATACTGCCTTTCTGTATCTTAAGTGTTATTTACTTATTTATGTATGCATTTTAGATGACTAATTTGCTATTAAAGAGAATGCATGAGTCTTGGAGGACTTTGGAATACTAAGCTTATGCCAGTTCAGTATTTACACTGCATGTGAATAACTTGGATATCACAGGGGTGACAAGTTTTAAGATGATTTCAAACATCTAATTGGACACAGATTGCCTCATTACTGAAGCATGTAGTCAGTTACATTCTCTGGACTACTATACCTTAACATATTAGTATGTTCAGACGCCATTAACTAGAAATTAGTTTTATTATCACATTATTATCTCCTGAGTGACATGGTTAATTTAGTTCTATAATCATTTTTTTAAGGTGTGGATCAGTTTTGCTCAGTTTGAGTTGTCTTCAGGGAAAGAAGGAAGTTTGGCTAAATGCAGACAAATTTATGAAGAGGCTAATAAAACCATGCGCAACTGTGAAGAAAAGGAGGAGAGACTTATGCTGCTGGAATCTTGGAGAAGCTTTGAGGATGAATTTGGAACAGTATCAGATAAGGAGAGAGTAGACAAACTCATGCCAGAGAAAGTCAAGAAGAGAAGAAAGGTCCAGGCTGATGATGGGGTAAGAACTGAGCCCTGGAGCTGGTCATGTGACATCCAGCGAGCAGAAATGCATCTGAGTTTGAAATCTGTACTTGTAAGTGGCTTATGGGCAGTCTGAGAACGGGAGCAGACAGCCTGGAGGGGAGAGTTACAGGCTGGCAGCTATGGCAATCCAGAGCAAGACATATGGTCTACCTGGGGGTGATGTGTGGGAGGAGACTTGGCAGTGGTTTCTCGCTGCTGGCTGATTCCAGGAACTATATGAAGTGTAGTGTTTCAGGAGCACTGAGCAGGAAGTCAGGGTGGAGGGAAATGAAACTGTTTTTAGGTAGGAGTCGATCCAGAGGCTTTGTAGCTGTAGGAGGCTCTTAGGCACAGAATGGCAGCAGCCAGCCATCGGCATCTCCAGCAGGCAGACTAGAGGTGCCTGTCTTGGAGGAGAACCTGGTGGGAGGCTGTTGTAAACAAAGCAAGTGGTGGTGGAAGCTGAAACCAGCACATCTTAAGAAAGTCAGATAAATGACCCTTTGGAGGTAGGGGTGTTTAAGGGCAGGGAGTTGGAATAATAATGCAGATTCAGATTTATGGCTTTCATTACTGGGTAAATAGTAAGTAAATCTCTAAGAATGTAAAATCTTAAACACAGACTGCAAGATGGAGTTGGCGAGGCTGACCGTTTTCTTAGTTGACTTTAAGTAGGTCTGCTTAGATTTTTAGAATTTTTCCCTCCAGTTTTTAGCTTTCCATTAGCAAACTTGGGGCAGCACCAGTCCAGCACTCCTTATTCCGTTGTCCGGGCCTGGCCTTGTTCTCTGTGGTAGACACTGATGTTTTGTGAAGTGAAAAGCAGGTGAATGTGAACTGTGTTTTCTAGTGCAAATTCTCCACTTTAAAGTACTTGAAGTGTGACTATTTCAGCCACTGTTAGCTTATCTTTTGTTTCACTTTTTTCTGTAGTCTGATGCAGGCTGGGAAGAATACTATGATTACATCTTTCCTGAGGATGCTGCCAATCAACCCAACCTCAAGCTCCTGGCCATGGCCAAACTTTGGAAGAAACAGCAACAAGAAAAGGAGGCTGCTGAGCAAGACCCAGATAAGGACATTGATGAGAGTGAATCCTGATCTTGTTCGTATTGATAAATGATTTATTTTTTTTATAAATTAAAAGTTTGGAACCCTTGTTGACTCCTATAAGTTTTTGTATATTTCACCAGTAATGAATTGATTGGAATCTTTGACAGCTACTTTTTAAATTATTTTTAAAATGCTCTTGGTTTAGCTAGGGGTGGGGAATTATAAGTAAAGGAATTTTTTTTAACTGCTGGATTTCCTTATATGAATTTGAACATTTTTGTCCATGTCATGCCTTAGGATATCTAAAGGTTATGCCTAGTATCTATTTTAGATGAAACTGCAGAAGTTTTCAAGTTACATTTTATAGTAACTTTTAAGGTATTTTCTGTTTGTCTTCTTCATAAAGATGCATTCATCTGAAACCTGAAACATCTCTAGTCACACAGGCTTGAATTCCATTCCCAGCTTTGCCACTTAGTGATGTATAACAATCTTTTTTAGTTTCTTCAATAATAAAATGGGCTTTTGCCAACTCATTTTGAACATTAAATTAGAAAAGAAATATCTGGCACATAGTTAAGTGCTCAATAAAATGTTCATTCCTAGCCATTTTCTTAAATATATTCATTCCTTAGTAGAATTGAATGTACTTAGATTACTCTGACTTCTGAATATGTGTGCCCTCTAATAGTGGCCATTTGTACTGAGTGCTTTTGAAAACACTAGTTGGAAACTAACTTAGTTAATGTATTTCTGAACAAGGGTTTTTATACCGGTAACATTTTAGTCAAATTATGCTCTAATCACTTGCCCAAACTGGCTGAACTCTATAGTGGCTTGTTTGAAGAATAGTAAAATGTGTGGTGTGAAAAACTGTCCCATGCACCAGTAGGTTTGAGAAACTCTAGATTAAGGGTTAAGCCTTGTTAATCAAATCTCTTTATAATTAGGATTCTTGGAGCTTTTGATACACTACTATACTTTATGAATCCCCAGTAGTGATGCTGACCATGTTTCCCAAACTCATTGGACAAGGCAGTCATTTCTACCTAGAGTACCAGTAAACATCTCAGTATGCTATAGCAGAAAACTCTACCTGTAAAACCAGGTACATTTAACTTACTTTGGGTTTAGAAGATGTGAAAAACACCTAAATAATGAAACTTAAAAGTAGCACAAGGATAGTAACATATTTGCTGGTACATTGTTTATATCCTCAAGCAAAGAGTATTTGCATTAACTGATTTGAGAAGCTGTTTGATTTAACCTGGCCTGTATTTCTCAAGCTGATTTTTTCTTGTTTCGTTCACTGCCCAAGCTGTTGAACTAGAACTTTATTTTCAAGCGTTTTTTCACCTAAGGGGATTAGCAGATTTATTATTTGCATATTTAACTGGGCAAACTTTGCAAGATGGTTATTATTCACCAATGTGTATAAAGCTAGTCAGTGTATTACTAAATTACATCTTGAAAGTAAGAATGAGGACAGAAGAAAATGGGACCATTAAGATAAAAGGAAAACCTTTGTCAGCCTCACTGCTTTAATCATTGCACTGTGACCTGCTGGGGTATCAGATAAGTTCTAACTATTGGGCGGATGTCTGCTGCTGGGTGAGGAGAAGCATTTGCCATTTTAATTTCCTTCGGCTAAGTGCAGACAGTCAAGGGGTGAGATGAAAACAAGTCAAAATGCTAATACAGAGTCTTCCCAGAATTATCTGTTGTGTTTATGTTGCATGTATGCATAAGGAAAAAAACTAGTGGTCGTGTTCATAATGCAAACTTCTAACACCCCTTTGTGGCAAGTGCCAATGTGAAATCCAGGAAAACGTTATTCTCACATGGGAAAACAAAGGATTCATTTCTCTCACAACTCCACCAAAGTAAGTCCTTTTAAAAGTAAAAGCTTTTTAATAATCATTTCTGTGGGTTTTTCTTTAGCTACTACCTCTTTTACTCACTCCATATTACTCACAAATACATGGTTGGCCTATGATCTAGTTATATGGCCTTTTCTGAGGAATTTGGTTCTTCTTCCCCTTTAAAAAGACTCGAGTACCTTTTTATATTTTTAAAGATAGGGTTTAAATAAAGGGATGAGACAAATGACAAGATCTGGAACGAAGAGTATGAAAACAAGCATCTGGGAGGAATTTACTAGGCAGTAAGAAAGAAACAAGTATGCTGAGCAGGGACTGTTTCTCAAGGATGCATTTTAAAAATGCTTTGTATGTAAATCAAAGATTCAACTAAGAAGCAAACATACCCTAAATGATGGCCATTCTCAATCATGATTTAATTTATAAATGACCAGAAAATATTTGAAGAGTCAACAACGCATTTTTATCATACATCTTCGATTTATGTATTTCATATATGATATGCTTTTAAAGCTTCAATTAGCACTTCAATACAAAATAAGAAATACATGTGTCACAGTGGTTCTCAGGCATAGAATTTAAGAGTCTCGAGCAAGTTTTTCCCTAGCATACAATGAATATTATGAACCATGATGTGGAATATTTATTTCCTTCTGACCTAGCTGCCTTTTTGATTTAATTTTATTACAGTGAACAGCTTTAGTAGGTATGATATTGCTAAGTGGAAATAAGATTTAAAATAAGCTTATAACCTGTATCATCTTGAAGTCTTTAAGACCTAAATGATTACTTTTCTCCTAATAGAGCTCCAGAATCATCCAGTGAAAATAATATTGTCCATAACTATCCGGAGCACAGGCCTAAGAACCACTGTGCATGGTTATTCAATGTCTTCAGGCCTCACAGGATGAGGTAAAGGTATGATGGATTTCTTCTCAGTGTCTCTGGTAAGTGCCTTCCTCATATCTGTTAGGAAGTAAAATTTAATGTAAGTACCCAAATATCAAAATACCTTATATCAAATTACAACTTGATAGGTAAGGTTCCTATTAAGAGGTTTTAGTCCCATCCCACTTTCCCCAGATTCTGAGAGAAGTGTATTCACAGGTGAGACTCCCAGTCACAGGTATGCTGGAGGCTTGCCAAACCCAGCTGGGATTCAGCTCTTGAGACAAATGCTCTTTTCATAGAATCTTAATAACATGCCTGTGTAATAGTAAAAACCATAGTCAGCAGTAATTAGCTACTGGTTAGTGAATGTAAGTTAACTAGCGGTGGGTTTGTAAAGGGCAAGTTAATTTAAAGGAAATATTGTAGCTCATTCAAAATATTAAATCCAACAAATACGTTTCTTTTAAATTTACTTAAGTAACTGAGTTTAGTATTTCAGTCTGTAGGATGAATGTGAACGGCCTTCCAGCGGGGACACTGCCACAGAAGGAACCTCACCATAAGCATCCTCGTCAGGCTCCCCGTTGCTGGCCGAATAGTACTCTATGACCGTCCTATATACGCTGTAGCCCAACTGCTTGTACATGTTGACTGCAACTTGGTTAGATACTCGTACAAAGAGATCAACAAAAAATCCACCCTTTCTTTAGTTTAAACAAACAAAAAAAAAAAATGTTAGAATGTGAGCAATCCTAGAATATAATACTTACATCCTTTTAAAAACAACACTTGTTTGTCTATACTTTGCTTTGACTATCACTCTTAGAATGGCAGTAAAAGAACCTTGCAGGCTGATCACAACATAGCAGTATTTCCTACTAAGAACTTAATGACAATTATTTTTCCATACAAGAAGATGAGTTTGTTTCCATGTAATGTTTCAAAACCTACATGTTTTCTTAAAGAGATAAGTTTGTAAAAAGCTTTTTTCACTGTAATTCCATTGCTTCCACTTAAAAAAGTACTCTGTATCATAGTATTGATATGCTCATTTTATCACACAATATTTTTACCCATACACACGTATGAAAGATTTTGAATAATTACAAACACCAGTGTGGTTATGCCTCAGTGTATCTACTGTTAACAGCCCTGAAGCTCAGGTCCCCCAGTCAGTGACAAGCCTCTCTCTTACCCAGAACCCAAAGGTCTCCACAACCGGACTCTTGCTTTTTGCTGTAGATTTACGACCTATTATAGTTTAGTTTCTCCTGTTTATGAACTTTGTATAAATGGAGTCATACTTTTATACATTGTCTAGAGATCTGCGTCTCGGTTAGCCTTGGTGTAGCTGGAGCTTGTTCATCTTCCTCTGTTCAGCATCCACTGTATGGATACTACGAGCTGTCCATGTCCTATAGATAAACGTTTCCAGGTTTTACTATCACAAAAACTCTGCTGCTCTGTTGTTGTTGTGTCTCATGGTACAGTATGTAAAGGTCTGCAACTAGGAAGTGTCACTGCTGCCTCACGGGGGTATCCTCAACTTTGTCAGGTTCTGCCTGTTTCCCAATCTGCCTGCACCACTTTGCACTCCCACACAAGTGGGTAAGGCTCCATTCCCAAAGAACCAAGACTTGGTGCATCAGACATTTTAATTTTTTTTAATTTACATTAAAAGTGGTATCTCAGGGTAATTTTATTTGGCACTTCTGATCACTAGCAAGGATGAATGTATTTCTGTTGGCCATTTACATTTCTCATTCTGTACAGTCTGGTCTTTCACACATTTTTCTTTCTCTTCAGCCGTGTTTCTCTGTGTCTGGACATTCAGCATTACTTAAAGGATATTGTATAAAAGATACTGCAAATCTTTCTCCAAGTTGTGGCTTGTCATTATCCTTATGATTCTTTGTAATGAACAAAGTTACTTGACTTCAATGAAGTTGCATATATGAACCTTTCCTTTACAGTCGGCACATTTTATGGCTTAAGTTCTTTTCTACCCTGAGGTCATGTAGACACCCTCCTCTATTAACTTCAAAGGATTTTTTTTCATTTTGTTTTTCACACCCAGGTTTTAAACCTGGAATTGGTTTGTGTATGATAAGGTAATAATCTGGTTGAAATTTTCCCCATACAAATAGCCAGTTGTGCCACACCATCTTTACTGAAAAGTGTGTCCTTTCACCACTACTCTGCTCTTGCCTCCTCTGCGGTATGGGAAAATACAGGTGGTATTCCTGAACCTGATTCTCCAGTTGCGTTCCACTGGTCTAGACAACTGCTCCAGCACCAACACACAGTCTTATTCATTATAGCTTGATATCCAGAGGGAGCAAATCCACCCATTGTTGGTGTTCAAGAATATCTCATCTCTTTTTGGCTTTTTCCATTCCTCTCTTAAGTTTCAGAAGCAAAAAGTCCCACAAAAAAAATACTTGAGGTTTTGATTGCAATTACATTGGTTCTGTGGATCAATTACCAGTTTACTAAATCAAGTCCCCAATGCCACAGAGGTGGTTAATCTCTCCACTGAGATAGGTACCTTTAATGTTTCTCAGTAAAGTTTTAGAAACTTCCAAGAGGTCTTACACAGCTTTTGTTGGATTTTTCCTAAGGGCTTAATGTATTCTGATGCCATTGCAATGGGCATCTTTTTCTAAATTTTACTGTTTGTATACAAATGCAAAATAATTTTATACTTACTTTATATCCAGCAACTTTGCTTAACTTTTATTGAGTTTTCTAGTAGTACAATCTTATCGGTGCAAAGTAAGTTTTGTTTCTTCCCCAATCTGCTTATCTTTTATTGTACTTGTTTTAAACTGTGCTGGATAGGACTTACAGTAAATTACCAAAGAGGAAAGCATCCTTGTCATGTCCCAAATTTCAAATGGTAATGCATTACCACTGCAACAACCTTCCCCTGGTAGATTATCCTTTTTATGAATCAGTGAATCCGTTTTGCTAAGATTTTTCTGGGACTTCTGCACCTATAACAATTCCTCAAAATTCTCTTCCTCATTTTTCTTCCAGGTTTGGTAATCAAGATTATCCTAGCTTTAAAAAATAAATTGAGGGATGGTCCCTTAAAGTCATTATTTCTTAAATAGTTAGTAAAATTTGGGAGAGAGGCCACAGCTTACTTTGTGGAAAAATGTTTGGCTACTGACTGAAATTCATTAAGGCAGGGGGGTTCAGCTTGCAACCTATTTTTGTAGTTCTCAAGCTACAAATGGCTTTTTAATTTTACATGTGTGTATGTACCCATACATACACCCATACAAATAAAGATCACTTAGATCTTACCAACTATTCTAAAATAATGAAGGTTTAGAAACCAAAAAAGAAAGCTTAGTGGTTTTCTACTCTAGACAGACTTTTTACTATAACTACATTAAATCATATGTGCAAGGTCACAGCTAATTAGAATCCATTTCCTACTGCCCTGTCCACTATATAATAATGCCAGTGCTTTTTTTCAACATGATATGCCATTAACCAATATGTGCAAACCATAATCTTGCTAAAAATGTTCTCCTTTTCCTTGTTCAGTCTAGTTTAAATTTCCTAAGGACTAGAGACAACTTCCTTTTCAGCTAACACTGTTTCCTCTCTCTGAATAAACTCGAGTTCCTCTTGCCCCCAACTTGGCAGGCTCAGAGCACTTTCAAGCCATGGTTACTTCCTTAAAACTTATTTTATTAAATCCATTAATTAAGTGGAAAGCCTCAAGAGCTCTTCTCAGCACCTACTCTCTTTCCTATATACTTCTGTGCATTGAGAGTAGAGAAAAAAGGAAGCTTGACAACTGGTTAAACGTATGAGCACATCTCTTACCTCTCCTAGACTATGAACTGGCGATTTTCTCTCTTAAATCATCATGCTTCTTTTATCTCACATAATGAAGGTGCTTGTCATATAAAACAGGTCCTTTTTAAAAAAAGGGCCACAATGTCGGCAGTTCCCAGCTGTGCTCCAAGGCACACCAAGATACCTCAAACTCACAAGAGATCCCTACAGGGTACTTCAAATGTTGGGGGAAAACGAAGACAAACCTTCCATGTCACACTGGCAACCTAATAGTGTCTCATATAGACAAACACAACATTATCTCTTTTATATTCCAATGGGATGTCTTTGTGAAGCCAGGTCTTAGCAGTTCCTATGATTTAAAAAATCTAGAACCACTTAAAATCAATGTGAAACAAGTACGTGGATGACAGTGTCCAAACTGTTCCCAAAGTTTGAGGACTCACATATTGCCCAGCAGATGCACACACCTCATTATAAGTAACTACAGTTACTCAATAATGAAATTAAAATATTTTTTTCTTTTAATTTGTTTATTTCTACAAATAGCTATGCAGTTGTTAGGCCTTAACCACCTACTAAGCAGTTAGGATGTAACTGCTCAAGATGAAACTGTTTTCTCTTGGGCTAGTGGCACTGTGAACAAATTTTTGAGATGCCAACAGCACTGTTAACAGAGAATCTGGGAATACCTGCCACTGTCACGAAACCCTGAGAGCTAGTCTTTCATTGCGCTGATTATGCAGCATGTAAGTCTATGGCATCACTCACTTTGCCTTAATTTTCCTCAGTGATAAAATAGGGACTATAATGCCACTCTGAGTATGTGACAGAATTGTGAGAACTCTTAGAGGCTGAAAATGAAATAACCATAAACTCTAAAGCATGACAGATACTCAACTTAGAAGGAAAAAAAAACTTACAAATGTGCACCGAGAGAAAAATCAAATGGTTAGGGTTAACAAATTATTTGACAAGCAGATCTCACCTTTCTGAAATCTCCTCTAATAACTCCATAAGTTTAGCAGCCAAACCAAGGCGTCGAAATTCTGGGGCAACAGACAGAGCTGTGACATGGCCATGCCATTCTTCCCTAGCTACTGAGCCTTCTGCTTTACCCATAACTGCCAACAAAAGATTGTAGTCAGTAATTAAACACATGGAGTTACACAAAAATGTAGCAGTAATGTTTGGTACATTTTTATTATAAAGGAAACTAATGACAAGTTTTAAGTACTACTGTCATCTAGCTACCTGTTATTAGTGCTTTTATTTGAATTTCACTTGTAAATATAATATTAAATATAGGTGTAGAATCAAAATTAAAAGGGTTTTTTTCTTTTTGTAAAAAAGGAAGGATATACAAAAAAAAAACAACTAATTCTGAACACAGAACCAGAATATGTATTTTTTTAAATATCTAAACTTCATGTAGGTATGAATTTATGTACATATAACTCTGCCAATCCACAGCTCAAATTTTTATGAGGAATGCTATACCTCAATAAAGATACTACAATCCCTGAGTTATGTACCAAATAAAAAACATAGAAATGTTACAAAAATACAGAGCAAAAGATCCAAGAAGACTAAGACCATGTCTATCTGGTTCACTGCTGTATCCCCTGGGCCTAGTGCAATACCTAAACAACAGGAAGGATCAGCAAGTTGTCAACTGATTGAAAATAAAATAAAATTAGTCATCATGATTAAACTTCCAATTCTGCAATCAACCTAAAACAATCCGTTGAAACCTCTACTAAAACCTTAACTACCTAACCAAAAAAAGTACTAGTGGTATTATACTTACTGTAACCCATTAACTCTCCACCAGGTGCCTCTGCAACGATGAAATACTCTGGCCAGTGTGCGAGGTACTGTAAATAAAAAGGAATCCCATACTAGAGTCTTGTTAAGGAGTGGACAGCAAGGTCTTCATAAACGGAGTATTTTGATGTCCTTTAAAAAGTACATTACTTTATCCCCAGCTCCATATATGTATGATTCTATGGTCATACCATTACATGAAATATTTGTTAGCATTAATTTATAACAAAATTGCCTGAATATATATAACCTCAAATGTGAATGGAGACAGCCCCATCTAATAGACAGCAGAGAACCAGGACTCCAGAGTTGCACCGTCTCCCTACTGATCATATTGTATCTAAACTCTGCACAGTACTTACCATCTGAGGGTCTTATTTGCACTGTCTTCTCCCCTGAGAATATGAATGTCACGTTCATTCTGTCCCTGTTACCTGGTACACAGTAGACACTCAATGTTTATTTTTCCATAATTGCACTAGAAAATTAATGACTAGTTCCTCTTTTAGCTTCAGCTATGAGACTGAAAATAACTTTAAAACAAGTATTTCCAAAGGCAACTTAACAATTACAGTTTTTCCCCTCCACTGATTCAAATTCTTCATTTTTAATAATACAAAATGAAAGCTAACCCAAAAGTGAATGCCTGCCTAATTTGCTCATGACTTGCTTCTTCGACCCTGGTATCCTTACTGACCTGTACTCATTCCGGCATTTCATCTTAGCATAAGCCTGCTGATGCAGTTCTATGAGTGGGCACATCAGATACACATTTTTTTTTAAGTTCCTGGAAAACCTGTTGAGTAATAAATTCAAACTCTCTTCTGAAGGACAGCCAGGATTCTGAGTATTCTTCAGGCATAAACCTTAACACAGCAAGCCAGCCAGTCTTCCTGCCATCCAGCTACTGACACTATAACTGTCTCTCAGGCTAATGGAGACAGCCCAGGTGCCAGTTCTTCCAATAAGACCTAGCAGGTCACTCTCAAACATGGCCTCCCCTAGGTTAATGAGACTTTCACTGTAAATTTTAAGTATAACTGGAAGCACATCATATAAGTTGATTTCATCCCAATAATTTCCCTTATTACACAGGGGAAATATTCTGTGTCCTTCAGAATTCTTCAAAATCCTCTTACCTTCTGTTTACTCATGGAGCAGTCTATAATAGGCTATAATTTTAAAAATACAAATAAACACTTTGGAGATTTTTGCTTTTTCCACTCACCTTTGTTTCTGATATGTAGCCCTGCTGCTGCTTGCACTCGTAATTAATTTTTACTGCTGTATATATTCCATTGTGTGAATAGACTGTGTGTGAATATCCTGTCTGCTGACAATGGACATCTGGGTTATTTCCAGTTTCTCAAAAAGCTTATATAAATCCTTCATGAATATAGCATAATTAATTTAGCCATTCCCCCACTGTAGTGTATGACTGTTACTCCAAATTTTTAATGTTGTAATTCTGCAATAAATATTTTTGTAATGATATACTTCAGAGATTAACAAACACTTTCTGTTAAGGACCAGAGAGGAAGTATTTTAGCCTGTGTGGACCATATGGCCTCTGCTGCAGCTACTCAACCTGTGAAAGCCGTGGACAAAAGCAACTGATATGTGAATTATTCAGCATGGCTATATCCCATAAAACTATTCACAGAAAAAGACATAAGCCAAATTTGGTCCACGAGCTTTAGTTTTTGCCAACCTCTTACGTAAGTGTCTCCATTTCTTATTATTTTCAGCTTCTAGGAAATGAAATTAACTAAGTTTTACATTGCCCAATTGCCTTCCAGAAATTCTGTAGCAGTTTATACTGTCACTGACAATTTATGGGAATGCTCCTCTCACCTCACTCTTAAGCACCAAGTTTTATCTTTTTCTTAATCCTTTATAGCTTAATAATAAGTAAAACATGGCATCTCATTTGGTTTTAATATGCATGTCTTTTGACTGCTGAGGCTAAACTCTTCATGTGTTCATTAACCTCCCATATGCCCTCTTTTGTTAAATTACCAGTTAATATTATTCTCCTACCCTGCAGATATGGAACATAAGCCAGAAATCCAACTTTGTGTTTTCAGCCACTCCATGTGTTATAATCTTTCAGTCTAACATAACCCAGAATTCCCTAACTTCACATATCTTTGCCCATTTTTCTTTTGGGGAGCATGATAGATACACTGTTACCCAAAATCCTTTCTTCCCTTTAGTAACAAGACCAATTTAAAGGTGGGCTCATTGCCAGGCTCTGTTACAGCTAGGTAAGTGTAACATGGGGCAGGTGCTGGTCCATGAGGTACAGAGGGCTGTGTGGTACTTCCCAAAGGTACCCCTGACACTCTCAACATCCCCTCTGTTGATCCTCCTGCCAGGAACATGGATGTGATGGCGTTTGCTCTACTAGCAGCCATCTGGGACAGGAAAGCCAAGGCTACCCTCAGAATGACAGAGTGGTTTAAATGCAGAGTCTGCTCGCTAGTGACTTCATGGGACCACTATGGGCTGCTCATCATCCCTAGAATCCTTCACGTCAGTCAGAAATCACCCATCTTGCTGAAGTCACTGTTTTTGCTATTGTATATACAGCCATACTCACTACGGAGGGCAGGTGGGCAGGGAAGCTGCACTGTTACAGATGCATAAGGTCATTGTATTAGCAGCCTGTCAGGCAGCTTTAAGACAACTCTTGTTCCTAGTTGTCTTGTCTTTTTTATTGCTTTCAGTGTTGCTTACGATCTTTACCAACGCACAAGTTTTAAAGGTTTTCCTATTCAGTGGAAAAACTTTGTTTCTCTATCTTCTTTACTGTTAGTAAGTGCTCATTAACCTTTTTTTAAAAAGGATACAGTTTCTGTAAGTGGATCCAAGTTACTAAAAGAAAAGAAATGTCAATAGTAAGTAGCGTTTATAAAACCAGTTAAAATACGCCCCCTAAAACTAAGATGCACAAGGAAAACAAAACATGCTAAATATACAACTTTAAAATCCACTTACGGGCTAAGGAAGAGGGTTTAAACTAACTGATGACCATAATGAGCCACCATAGCCACTATAAAAGTATCTATCCATTTTCATTTAACTGCTTTAATTATTTTATAGTTTACATATCCACATCAAAACCTTCCTTTTTCTAAATGGCAATAAGGTGTTAAGGGAACTGGGGACCAATCAAGCAAGTAAATCACACCGACAGAATGCCAACGGCACCTCCAGGCCCTCCCCGACAACTCTGCCTTTCTCTACTCCACCTTCTCAACATGGGATATCTCACCACTCGGGTTTTTGCTCCCACTCTTCTACATTCCCGCTTCCCCTTCCCTGCTGTCCCCCTTTTCCTATACTTTAGCTGTGTATTTTTGGAGGAGGACCCCAGAATCTGACTGGTGCTGCTGAGCACCTGCCTCACCAGCACATGGATGTAACACCCGCCAATGAGCATTTTTTTAAAATGCACCTCTGCTTCCATCCCCAAAAAGCTCTGCCCTCCACCTTCCTGATCAATTAATGGAGCCATCATTTCACCAGGCTCAAAACCAGCTACCTTCTCATCTTCCTTTTGTACATACAGTCAAATTCTTCATGGGACACTTAACACTACCCAGCAGTTCTCAAACGTTTTGGTTTCAGAATCCCTACACACACAAATTATTGAAGACCCTAAAGAACTTTGCTTATGTGGGTTATACCTACTGATATTTAAATGTTTTGGGTATTCACTCATTTAAAAATAATAAATCATATGGCATTAATATGAATAACTTGCTTCTAAAACAGAATGTAACTTCACTTTCAAGAACAAAATTTAGGGACAAGAATGGCACTGTTTTTGACAAGTTTACTGATCTTTTAAATGTCTGGCTTCCTGGAAGAGAGCTGGATTCTCATGCCTGTGTCTGTTACACTCACTGTTACAAGATCGCACATCAGAGAACCTATGTGCACTTGTGAGAGAATAACAGAGGCAAAAAGCTATCTTATCTAAGCATTATCATGAAAATAGCTCTGACCTTGCAGAACCCCAAAACGGTCTTGAGGAGCCCCAGCCCACACTGGAGAACTGCTGCACTAATACAGTAGAATCCATACTTCCACAACTTCTTGATAGTCTCTTGTCCTGCCTCAGCCCTCCAGCAGGCCACCCCACTCCTCAATCACAAAGAAAATACAACAGTTAAGAAGGAAGCTTCCGCAAATGCACCCACACTCTACTTGTTCTCCAGGAACCATGCCTGGAGTGCTGGTGAGCAGATCCCACCTCCGCTCTCTACCCAGGACCCTGCTCTGCAGTCCTCATCTCTCCTGGAAAAAATGTACAAATATGCATATGCATCACCATCAGCAGCACTTGACCCCTCTACCTGGAATATTCTCCCTGCTCGGCTTAAGACCCTTCTACCAAGTTCTCCCACTTCCCTGAGCCACCAGTCACCTTTAACACTTGATGCCCTAAAGCACCATCCTGGAGCCACTTTTTTCTATCCACACTCACTCTATCACTGATGCTACCCAGCCTCCTGGTTTTAAGGCCATTAGTGTTTACCCTCAGATCTCTATCTTTAGCCCAGACCCACACACTCCCATACTCAGGTTACCTGACTTCTTCTCCACCTCAGTCTCAGTGCACTTAGCAGAGAAGCCCAAGTCCTGTGATGGCCTCTCCAATCTCTAGCCCTTTGACTCTGACCTCATCTCCTCACACTCCCTCACTGTGCTCCAGCCACACTGGCAGCTGCCTCCTGTCTCAAACAGGCACCTGTGCCCTTACTATTCCCTCTGCCTGGAAGGCCCCTGCCCCCATACACTCACTCCCCTCTTCTCCCTTAGGTCTTTCTTCCATCACACCTTCCCTGAACACCCTACCTAAAGCTGAATCCCCACTCACTTCCACTTCCCTTTCCTGCATTCATTTCCTACTTTGTACTGAACACTAAGTTCTACATGCTGTATCTCCTTGTTTTCCCCTCTAAAATGAAAGTTCCATTAAGATAATTTTTTCATTTGTTCACTGCTATGTCTCCAGAACTGGTTGAATAGTAGGTGTGTATATATTTTTCCAAGAATAAGTAAAATAATTTTTAAACTAACTGCACTGTTTTTACATTAATTGCTTCTTTCAATTCCTTCTGCAAAACCTTAACCCAGCGATTCTCGGAGTTCTCTATCAAAGTGGGAAACAGGAGAAAACAAGGAGGAAGAGGAAATCCCCTACTGGCATATTCTTGAGGCCTGAAGTTGATGATTTCTTGGACCCTTGTGTTTTATTATAAATGTTCATGTTCACTTTATTCATTTTCATATGCAAGTGTTGATCCATACTAGATCCTCAGTTTAGTCTATTCTTGAAGCTGCGAGGCATGCTGTCACCTCCAAGGCCTGCACCTCCCAACCTAAGCCTTTGTCAAGTCTTCATCTCTTTGCCATTGTCAAGATCTCCTAAATGGTTTACCTGCCTGGTGTACCTCCTCTAATCACTTCACATTCCTCACAGCTTTCTGGTAAAGCTCTGGGGCTCCACAGCAGTAGTCCTCAAACAGCCAAGAATCTGCATTTCCAAAATGGTCCCTTGGTAGTCAGAGGCCACTCTTTTGAGAACCACTGCTCTGGACCCAACCTCCTGGGATTAGATCCCTTGCTTTGCCCACTCCAGCTTGAAGCAATTCACTTGAGTGCTCAGTGCCTTGAGGTTACTCTTACAAAAAGTGGGGATGAGGAGAGCACCTGCTTTTTAGCATTGTGAGGATTAAATGGATTATAACAGTGAGAGCCCAACACAAGCTGCCCTAGTTATGCTGTTTTGATAGGGAGAGGCCCAACAGAAAATTCTTCCCGACTATCAGGTCTAAACTCCTACAAATGGAGCGAAAGTCCGGTTCCACCAGCTTCTCTCTGATCAGCACAGAAGCCCACTTCTGTAGTCACATTCATCTCTCAGGTGTCCGGTACACCGCAGGCTTGCTCACCTTCGCACCTGCTTCCTCCTCCAGAACTTCCTTCCTCATCACTGTCGTCATTCTATCCATCCTCCCAGGCTCATCCCCTTTGACATATTTCTAACCACCTCATCTGGTGTTCTTTTCATCCTCCTGACACCTCAGTCCGAACTACTTGGTCGTTAGTTTTCACATACTGCTCAGGTGACTTTACAGCGGACCTAGGACTAGCAGGTGGGCGGATGGATGGGTGGGCATGTGATAAAGTCAATGCAGCAAAATGTTAACTGCAGAATCCAGCTGATATGTCTATCACGGTAAAATCCCTTTTAAACGTTCAGATTTTCATAGTAACGTTTCTCCTAAAGTATCTGCCAGCCACCGGTCCCGACTTAACTGGGGCTTAAAGTGAGGCACTAGCGGGCCTCCAGCAGTGTGTGCCCACCGCCCGACCCCCACAAGAGGAAGAGCGTCAGGGCGGCGCGCTGCACTGACGAACGCACGGAGACACACCCCGCGGCGAGGCCTCTGCGGCGCGCGGCCGTACAAGGTTACTTCCCTCGGACACCAGCTGGCCGTCACCACTAGGGCCAGCGGACGCTCGCCGGGACCCCGCGCCGTCCGCGCACAGGGGAGCAAGCCGGGTCACCTCCGGGCACGGCGAGCGCAGCAAAACTGGCGACGGGCTGCGGCCCGCACCGCGCCAGCTCCTCCCGGCGCGTCCCCGCAGCCGCCCCGCCGCGACCAACTCGCCGGGAGACAGGACGATGAAGCTCGGCCCAGGCCCCGGACTGTCCGCATGTCCGCCTGGCGCGGCCTCCGCCCGGAGGCCCCTGCGCACTCACTCACATGTTGTTGAAGCGGAACAGGTCGTCGCACGTGAAGGCCCGGAGCGTGGTCATCGCGCCGGCGTCGCCGCGGAAGCCGGCTCGCCGCGATCCCAGTCCCGCCCCGCCGGAAGTCGATCGGTGAGCGGCCACTGCGGGCGGGGCGGGACACTGTTTCCGGGACACGAGTTGCTCGGCAACCACGATAGCGACGCATCTCCCTCCGACGGCCAGAGTCGGGATTGCAAGACCACTCCAGTAACGTCCGGGACTTTTCCCTCAGAACTTCCAAATCCCTCGGCAGGAGAGACTGGAGAGAGGCGGCCATGTGATCGCGCGAGAAGGAAACGGATAGCTGCCGGGCGCTAAGACACCTGGGCAGAGGGGCGGAGCACAGGGATCCAGTGAGGGAGACGGAAGTGGGGTGGTGTGTCGGGGCTCGGCCCAAAGCGGGTGCCGCACTGCTGCAGCTGTGCGTGTGACCTCAGATTTCCCAAACCGCTTTTAAAAACATAAAAATAAAGGTGAAGTTAAGTGTAACAATATATACTATTTTACGTAGTATATTAAAAATACTTCACATAGTATATTAAACGTATTTCACATGTAACCAATGGAAAAAATATTAATAGTGCTGCTTTATTTGGTGTGCGTAATAAAGTCTGAAATCCCGTGTGTGTTTTACATTTGCAGCTGATTTCAGTCCCGGAGCTAACGTCATCAGAAATACTTGTTCTGCGTTTACATATCATAAAATGTCTGGTTAAAATGTAGATTGACATTCTCAAACGACTCCATTCTGTTTTCAATTAACTGAGTGGAGCATCAGTTTTCAAATTTAAAGTTAAATGAAGTTAAAAATTGCATTCGTCAGCTGCACTAGCTGCCATTCCAGTACTCAGTCGCCCCAGGGGCAGTGGCTGCCAACATCCTGCATAGCACAGGCCCCTAAGCTCAGAAAACATAACTTCTTCCTGCCTTTGGAAGGTCTTTCCCCTCTCTCACCAAGCAACTGCTTAGGTGGTCTTGGGGACAGGTTTGCATAGTTCAAAACAATCCACATGACTCCTCAAGTCTAAACTCCAGGGCCCTCCCATCTCTAACTGCCCTGAGGCCCAAGTTGCTCCACAGGGATCTCAGCAGCCCCTTGCCAGATAATGTGAGCCAAGTATGAAAGGAGGAGAGAAAGCAGATGGCTGAGGAAGTGGGTAGGCCCATAAGAAGGATCTCTCAAGGTCCAAGCTCATCTACAGGCATTGCTTCCAAATCCTCAACAATATAGGTTCATAAGTGTAACCGCACATGCAATAGTCCCTGGGGTGGACAAACTCACATCCAGAGGTTCTACAAATGCGCCCGGAGGGCAAATGTGGTATCATGAGCTCAGCCACTGCCTACCAGGTGTTTAACCAAGGAGAAACTTTAAAGGCAATTTCCTATCAACAAAACCTATGTGCCCACATTAAATGAACGTTTAAAGGATAATTTTTAGAAAAAGCAAAACTGAGATTCTCATACAAATATAAAATGAACGTATAACAAAGATGTTAACTCAGTTGATAAAGAATCAGTAAGATGTTAAAACCAGTTCAAGGAGAGTTTAAAATGCATGAGGCAATCGGGAATGCTGGATATATTTACAAATAGAAGTAAAGCTGGTGGATACCCACAGAGCAGCAATCTATTGCATATCCTGGACATGCACAACGCATTTACATTTCTATAGACAAGAATCATTTTTATTACCACCAATTTTCTTCAGCTTACAGAGTTAACCTGGAAGGGTGTACCTAACAGGACACCCAATCATCTTTTTTTTGGTCTTTTCAAAATGAACTAAATTAAAATTGTAGAGATTGCTGAGCACTATAGAAATATGTGTACCTAAAGGTTTCCTATAACTCATAAGACATATATTTTATTACATCATATATTTTGAATATAATTTCAACATCTTAATGAAAATCATTAAGAGATTAAAAATCTTTGAGAGATTGAAATCATTTTTTTATTATAAATTTACATTTAAGGCACTATCATCTCTTTATAAGGAAAGATGAGCTGATTATGATTTTTGTCTCATTTATCCTATTCTCCTAATTATGTTGCTTGTATTATTACTGTTACCTTTCAGAACTTATATATACATCTGTGTTACAGTGGTGCATCCCCCAGTCCTTTGGTTTTAAGGCTACAATTCAGTAGATGTAACACCATTTTTTATTACAACTTTCTCATTCTTCATTTTGGTTCATTTATGGGTTGGCTGGATTTCATTATAGTGTTTTCTCTTTGTTTTGCTTTGCTTTGCTTTCCCAGGGAACTCTTGAGGCTGGTGTTCTATACCCAGAGGGCCTTAGTCTGTTAGAATGCCCCATTAGAATATTTGCTGGACATTCTCTCCCCCAAGAAATTTGTAAACATCATGAATCCATTGTTTTCTGGTGTTTAAAGTTCTGGGGGAAAGAAGTAAAGCTGGCATGATTTTTGTTTTCTCATTTGTGGGTGACGCTTCCAAAAATAAAACAATCTTAACAGTGCATACATCTCTGTCAAGTTCATCAGTTTAACACTGAAATTTACCCAAAAAATCAAATCTGGATCGTTCCCACATAGCCAGTGGGAATGTAAAAATAGTATATAGCCTCTCTGGAAAACAGTTTGGTGGCTTCTTTTAATAACTAAACATGCAACTACCATTTAACCCAGCAATTGCACTCATGGGGATTTATCCCAGAGAAATGAAAACTTATGTTCATACAAAACCCTGTACCCCAATATTTAATCAAGAGTCAAAATTCTGTGTACTGTATGATTCTATTTACATGACATTCTGGAAAAGGAAGAAATAGGAACAGAAAGCAGATCAGTGGTTGCAGGGGCTGGAGGGATAGGGCAGATGGGAATTAGAGGAGTTCTTTGGGACTGGTCATGATGGTGGCTCCAGTACTGAGTGTATCTGTCAGAATTAGAACATGCACTTAGAAAGCCTAAATTTTACTGCATGTAAGTTATACCTTAATGGTGCGATTTGTTGTCTGTACCATTTCAATAACTTTATTTAAAAAGCATGAACTACATTATTACATGGATTGGAGTCCCAGTTATTTGGGCTTCTGGCACATGCTGTTAACTGATTTCCGTTTTAGTGCATTCAATTTTATTTTTAACATGCAGAAAAACGCTGTTTCTGCCCTGGCTGCACATTTTCCCCACATAAAAGATGACTCACAGAACTTTATTTATCATATTTCATTGTGTAATTCTTTTTACTGCTTAGTTGGAAAAAACTACAAGCTTTTACCACATTTTATCACAAAATGTTTTCCTGCTCATTGAGACCAAACACCATGTGCTCTTCTGTAATTAGTGCTGACCCAGGTTCACATCCATCACGGCAAAATTTGACATTTAAACAAGCAAACAGCTTGGAGTTGCGCATGTTGCTGCTCCATTTCTTTTCCCTCAGATCATGTGGAAAGGATAAAGTCCACAATAAATATATTTTTTGATAAATCCTCAGCAATGTGCTTGACAAGAAAACATCTTGGATAGGTAGTTGCCTTAAAATAACTATAAAATTATTCTTCATAAAATAACAACTGGACAGGATAGATGCATTGACTCTAACCATAAGTGTAATAATCTATTTTCAGTGCTGCTAGCCAGGTTGTACAAAGAGCTGACTACAGGTTTCAATTAAACAAAACAGGCTGCATACATCTGCTCCTTACCAATACCTTACTAAAATGAGAATTTAAAAAAAATTTTAAGACATATATCCATAAGAACAAAGAGAATGGAGACTATCCAATGAGACCTGTAACAAAATTATAGATGCTAGTAAATTCATGTAACAGACAAAAGAAAGCTGAGGGTCCAGCAACTGTAGGAGGAAAAGCCAACAGGCAAGGCAATTGATTTTTGATGCAGTATCCAGGGAGGCCTGGGAATGAGACAAGTCAGGCAGAAATAAAGGGAGAAGGTGAAAGCCTTACTCCCTGGAGAGGCACAGAGGCTGTGTCCAAGTTCAGAGAACAGCTAGCGAAGCATGAAGGGAAAATACCCTATTGAAAATAGGGATTAAGTAAAGATTGGTACACTGAAAGATGAACTTCCTGCAAACCCCTTGCCTGCTTCACTCCCAGAATGCTGGCAGCTAGATTTAACCCCACCCTGTCCCCTCTCTAGTAGGATAGCAGAGCATTTTTGGTGGGGAAGCCACCTGACCTGAGAAAATCCCCACAGATATTCACATTTTTCAGCTCTCTAATAGAATGAGTGAATTGCCACTTGGTTCCCCTAAGGGAAGGGCCACCGATTCACAAATTCTACCCACAGTACACAGCTTCCAGTAAGCTTTGTGGTGCTTTACATTGAATTATGAGTTGTTAAATGTCAAACTAGCATTTGAGAAGATCTTCTAACTCAAAAGACAGAAATAAAAACAAAAAGAAAAATAGAACTGGGATGAACAGAAAAAAAAAAGATAAAACAGATCATACTGTAACGAATATCCACAGAGAGATTAAAAGATATTGCACCATGGAAAAAAAATAACAAAGTTATAAAAATTACATTCACAGACAAAAAGAATGCTTGGAAACTGCAAATATATTATAAATAACAAATTCAATAATTGAAACAAGTTCCCCAAAAGTGTAAGAAATAAAGACTGAGAGACAGGAAATAGGAATTAAAGCTCAAAAAAAAAAGGAGTTCATTCTGATAGGATCAATTTTCACATAATAGGAATTCCAGAAAGAGAAAAAAAATGGAAAGAAAGAAATAATAATTTTTTAAATATAAGAAATATTCTCAGAATTAAAGAATATGCATCTTCAGAGTAAAAGAGACCACTTAGTCTGCAACACAATTGACTAAAAAAAAAAAAAAAATCACATCACTGAAATTTGAGAACAATGAGAAGATTTTAAAAGTCTCTGGAAAATGGAAGGGAAGTATATCAGTTAGCTTTTGCTGTGCAATGAATCACCCAAACTTTGTGACTTAATTTGAGGGATGGTTGGGTAGTTCTGGCCTGAGCTGGATGCATGTTGTCTATATGGTCTAAGACACCCTAACCCACATGGCTAGGACTTCCTGTGATGGCTTGGACTTCTCTCCACACGGTCTCTTATCTTTTAAAAAAGTAGTTTGGATTTGCTCACAAGGACAATAGAAGGCTTCTCAGCAGCTAGAGAGGACCAGCCCAAAGCACAGGCACTTTTCAAACCTCCATTTCCATCTTGTTTGTTATTGTTCCTTTGACTAAAGTTAGTCATATGGCTTTGCCCAGAGTCAAGGTGGAAGGCTATCCAATGGCATCGATAAAAGGAGATAAGATTCTTTAGGGGCCAGAATGACAACTGTGCAAGGCACATGCAAGGTGTGCCTGGATATATGCAGAGATTAGGTATCAAATGGTATCAGACTTCTTGATGGCATCTCTGAAAGCTAGAACTCAAGAGGAAGAAAATGACTTCTAACTTTCAAATTCTGAGAGACAATGTTTAACATAGAATTCTCTACCCAGCTAAACTATCAAGCACTAGTAAAGCTAGAAGAATCAGAAGCATGTGTAAGTCCTCAAAAATTTCACCTCCAATTCTTCTGAATGATGTGCTTCAAGAAAACAAAGAAGTGAGTGACGA